TCCAGAACACCTGTGAAAAGATGTCAAATCTTGAATTTAGTCAACAATCATGAAAACAAAATGAGTCCCAAAAGGCATAGTCATATATGACTTCATAAATGCCATCTCCAAATAGAATACTATACCCTCTAAGGAAAGGATTTCAGGGGATAGTACATACGTAAAGAAACCTGTTTCTAGTGATCTCTTCAGTGTGGCTCCTCCGGGGGCCGGTCCATACCCTTGGAGCACGCTTCCTCTCTGCCAAACTTGAGCAGCCACAGGGGCCTGGCTGAGCCCAGAGCCACTGAGGGTGGACTGGGACCCCAGTCCTGGGGACAGGTGACATCAGACAAAGGACCTGGCCTGACGGTTTCCTGGACATTCATTCCACTCCCGGGCCACCTGATGCCTCTCCTGAGACATTGACTGAAAGTTGCCAAGTCTAAGTAAACAATGAATTTATTTGTATAGAAATGTAGGGAAGAGGTGAAGCACAGGGCTGGGCCTGCCCCGGGAGTCCAACACAACATTCATGGCCCAAGAGTGTTTTGCAAGGAGGAAGTAAATCAGATATTCTGTATGATGGTCCCCAACGGCAGGGTGGGGGACAAGCCATTCAAACCTGTAAGCAATCACTGTTCCCTGGCTTATCAGCATATCCGCTCTGGAACAAGGAGCTCCTCCCGGATGTAGTTTTTGTTCCAAATAACAGGGGTCAAAGGGCATACCTTACTGTGGGGAGACTTCTATTCCCCATCCATAGGACCTGAGTGGGTTTTTGGGTTAGTATTTTGGGAAAAGGACCACAATTGTTCATATCTCCTTAGATTTAACTTTAAATCTCTTTAATCCTGGCTTGTTGGCAGGTGTTTTTTCACCAGACTGGCTTATATATTCACAGGTAGCACATATATATCTGATATTCCATCCACAGGCTGACTTTTCCATCAGTGCCTCTCCTGGGTCCTGATGAATTCAGAACGGTGCTCTGTACAAATGAACTTCTGAATGCGAGACTGATCTGAATTCAGATTAAGGCTCCCTTGGTTAGCCCCTGGGGGTCATTGGCTCCCTCTTCCATTTGTTTAACCAGTGACCCTGCCTCTTGGGGAGGGCTGGTCTGCTCTGGGTGCCAGGCCCTCCCTCATGGTCTAACACCTCGACTGTGTATTTATTTTTAAAAGTCTTTTTTATTATTATTATAATTATTATAATTATATAATTATATAATATTATTAAATTAATAATAGTAATAATTTTATTATATAATTTAATATTATATATTAATATTAAATATTAAATATATTATTAATTATTAAATTATAATTATTATATAATATTAATATCTATAATAATATATATAATATATTTTATATATTATATATTAATTATATAATATATATAATTATATATATTATATATAATATATTTATATATATTTTATATATTAATTATATAATATTAATATATATAATAATATATATAATATATATAATATATTATATAATTATTAAATAATATTAATATAATTATATAATATTATTAAATTAATAATAATTATTACTATTTTATTATTTTAATATGATTATTATTGTGGAATATTCCTCAAATTACAAAGAAGAAAATAAAAACAGTAATTCCATTTTCTAGACCTAATTACTGTCTTTTTACATCTGTATAGGTTTTTTGTATTATTGTTAAGACTATTTTTTAAGAGCAGTTTGAGGGTCACAGCAAAATTGAGCGGAAGGTAGAGATTTCCCCTGTATCCTCTGCCCCCTCCCACGCACAGCCTCACCCACTATCAACATCCCCATCTGGAGTGGGACATTTGTTACAACTGACACATCATCATCACCCAAAGTCCATAGTTGACATTACAGTTCCCTGCTGGTGTTATTCAGTCTGTGAGTCCGGACAAAAGTACAGTGACACAGACCCATCATTATGAGCCATTTAGAGTATCTGCACTGCCCTAAAAACCCTCCAGGCTCCCCTTAGTCCTCCCTCCCCCTAGCCCCCTCCACACCCCCCCCCCGGCAATCCCTGCTCTTTTTACTGTTTTCATAGTTTTGCCTTTTCAAGAAGGTCATAGCATTGGAATCACACAGTATATAATCTTTTCAGACTGACTTCTTTCACTTAGTGATATGCAGTTAAATTCTTCCAGGTCTTTTTCATGACTTGATAGCTGAAGACTTTTTGGCACTGAATGTAGTCCATCATCTGGATGTGTCAGTTTATTTATCCATTCATCCTACTGAAGGACATGTTGGTTACTTCCAAGTTTGAGCAACTATGAATAAAGCTGCTATAAACATATGGTTTTTATTTTATTTTAATTTTTTTAATGTTTATTTTTGAGAGAGAAAGACACAGGGTGCCAGTGGAGGAGGGGCAGAGAGAGAGGGAGACCCAGAATCTGAAACAGGCTCCAGGCTCTGAGCTGTCAGCACAGAGCCCGACACGAGGCTTGAACTCATGAGCTGTGAGATCATGACCTGAGTTGAAGTCAGATGCTTAACCGACTGAGCCACCCAGGTGGCCCAAAACATACAGTTTTTAAACATAATTTTGCAATATGCTTCTTTTATTCAACAATAGGTGGTGAACATTTTCTCAAATCATAAATGTTCCTGGGCAATCTTATTTTAAAGATCACACTGTAATCCATCACATGGATTACATGAGTTGATACAAATAAAGCTCTTAAAATGGTGAGTGGGGTGCCTGGGTGGCTTAGTCGGTTAAGCATCCGACTTCAGCTGAGGTCATGATCTCATGGCTCATGGGTTCCAGCCCCGCATCGGGCTTTGTGCTGACAGCTCAGAGCCTGGAGCCTGCTTCAGATTCTGTGTCTCCCTCTGTCTCTGCCCCTCCCCCGCTCATGCTCTGTCTGTCTCTGTCTCAAAAATAAATATAAACATTAAGAAAAGTTTTTTAAATGATGAGTGACACATGGTAAGAACTCAATAAACCTTACCAATTATTATAATATGAATATGTGCATAAACTATATGTAATTTAATCAGCCCTTTATTATTCGATATGAGGGGGGTTTTTGCTTTTTCGCTAATATAAATAATTCTCCAGTACACATCCCTGTGGACAAATAACCAACATTTACAACAGTGTTGTTCTTTTTTTCTTTTCTTTAAGCTTTCTACATGTGTCTTTAGACTCTCACTTTCTAACCCCAAACAGAGCCAGTGGGGAAACACAGCACTGAAGGGAGCTGAGTTGTTTGGGTCCCAGTCCCTCTGTTACCTTGACCTACGTGCATGGCTCTGGACAACTCACTTCACCTCTGTTCTGTAAAAAGCAAAAACGTCCTCATAGAGCATAAGGCATAGACTTGCTGAATCACTATGTTGTATACCTGAAACTAATGTAACATTGTGTCAACTATATTTCAATTAAAAGCCAACAGGATAAAAAAAGTCCTCAGAGGATGGTAAAGAGGATGAAATGAGTTAATAATACATGTGCCGTCAGCGGATGAATGGCTGAGCAAATGTGGTACATCCATACAATGGAATATTATTCAGCCATAAAAAAGGGACCGTAGGCATGGCAACCAGAGTCGATAATACTGTATGATATATTTGGAAGATGATAAGAGAGTAGATCTTACAAATTCTCATCGTAAGAAAAAAAACTTGGTAACTGTGTGATGATGAATGTTAAATAGACATCGTGGGGATCGTTTTGCAATACAAACATTGAATGAGTGTGTTGTACATCTGAAACTATCATAATGTTATGTATCGACTACATTTCCAGAGACAGAATGCAGCACTGACACCTCCTATCATTTGAATAACCTCAAAAACATTACACTAAGTGGAAGAAGCCAGACCCAGAAGTCCAAGTATCATGTGATATCTTTTAAGAAATGTATTCAGAATAGACAAATCCAGAGAGACAAGACACAGTGATGGTCTCTGTAATGGGACAGAGAGGGGGGCAAATGGGCGGGAACTGCTTAATGGTACGGGGTGTTCTTCTGGGGTGATGAAAAAGTTTTGAAACTAGAGAAAGGTGGAGGTTGCACAATGTTGTGAATGCACTAAACGCCACTGAACTGTACATTTTTAAATGGTTAATTGTATGCCATGTGAATTTCATCTTTAAAAAGAAAGCAAAGCATTTTGTGGGATCCTAGCATCTAGTAAACAATGAAAATATTCTTACCACTCATCACCGCCTCCAGCCAGCATAGACTGTTCATCTCAGCTATTGTCAAAACAAGGGAAAAGAAATCATTAAATGGCAGGCAGTATGAGGGAGTCCCAGGCCTCGTGGAGAGGATTTTCCTGAGACCTGCCCCTTATACAGCTGCTAAGATAATAACATTTTCATTTTGTTGCAAGGGCAGCAAATGGGAACGTGGGTCATGGAACAGAATTTGTAGCTCTTGGAGAGTTTCTGGTTTCATTCATGTGGCTCTGGGAATTGACAGTTGGAAAGCCATTCCATTGTTTAAATATTTCTGGCAGCTACACCCTTCTCTCCATCTCTGTTATTACTCTCTTAGTGCAGGCTCTCATCATCTTTTTTTCCTAAGATATAGTTCACATGCCGTAAATTCACCCCTTTGAAGTCTCCAGTGCAGGTGTTTCATATCTTCACAGAGTCATCGTCTTTTGCTGGGACAGGTGCAGTAGTCTCATAACCAGCCTTTCTGGTGCACTGTGTACTTCCTGGCGTACTCTTCTGGACTGTGCTTCCAACTTGAGCTCGTCTGATCCTTCTAAAACCCAAATATGATCATGTTCCCTTCCTCCTTTACCTACCTGTTTTATAATACCTTACAAGCTCCCCAAAAATGTCTGAATTCCCAGCATGCCCCATATCTTCCTCCTTTCCAGACTGTCCTCTCCCACTGCCCCACTTTCACTCTTATAAACCACTTCAATAAAAAATCCTTGCACACATATCATATCTCGATGAACTTGTATTAAAAATATATACTTGTAGTATATACAAGTATATAAAAATATATACTTGTAGTATATATTCCTAGAATTCCTAGCATGTATTCCTAGATCCAAGAATAGGCACATTTTAAAATATTGCCAAGTTGCCCATCAGTGATATATGAGTGGACATGCTTGCCCACACTGTCATCAACATCAGGTAGTAACCATTTAAAAAATCTTTACAAATCTTATAGATGAAAATAATGTCATTGTTTAAATTTGAATTTCTAACTAGTGAAGTTGTGCATATTTTCGTAATGTAGACTATATTTCCTGTTCTATGAAATCCTTGTTTATGTTCTTTTCACTCTTGGGGTGTGCACTTTCTTTCTTATTGATTTGTAAGAACTTTTTATTTATTTAGGAGATTAGGACTTGTAATATATGATGCAGGTTTTCTCAGGTTGTGGTTAATTCATTGCCTTTGCTTTGATGTTCTATTGTTGACAGAGAAGTTTTAAACTTTTTTGGTAGCCAAATTTATCAGCCTTTTCCTTTGGGTTTCTAGCTTTCATGTCATACTTGTAAGGTCTTTCCCACTCAAAGATTGTAGAAATATTCACCCCTATTTTCCTCTGAAATGTAAATGGTTTAACTTCCTACTCTCCTTTGGGTGTTAATGCTGAAGTGAGGAGGGAGAGAAGATTCCAGCCATATTCTGTAACAGTGGCCAAGAGCCCTGCTTTGGGAAACTGAGGACAACTGAGTGTGAGTACAAACCAATGACTTTGGGCAAGTTACACTCTCAGTGTCTCTGTTCCCTCTTCTGTGAAATGGGAAAAACCACAGAATGTGCTTGTAAGTGTGTGGTGAGAAGTCATTAAGATGATGTGTGTAAAGCAAAGAGCACAGTGCCAGGGGCAATGTAAACCCTGTGAGTTAGCTACTGTCCCGGTCTTTCTTCAGTGCTGGCCTTCATTCTAGCACCATTGCTGGAAGAATCCACCTTCTCCCCACAGTTGTGAAATGCCACCTGTTAAAGGCAACCATCCACTAGTTTCCCAGGTGCACTGGGTTTGTGTCTGGACTCACTCTTCTGTCAGTCTCTTCTGGGCCATTGTCTCATCAGTGCACCTAAGGTTTGCTCACTTCTGGCCAGGGAAGTCTCCATGCCCCTTGGAGGCCCAGGCCGTGTGCCCTCAGGAACTCCCTTCTGTCTCTCCCATATCCCCTCCAGGGCCAGCCCCGTCCACCCTGTGTTTTGCATCTACTCATAAGTTTTCCTCCAACTTTCCAAGATGGGTGGGACCTTTTGTTATACGCACTTTGAGATTCAAGAAATGGAGAGCTGGAGAGTTCCACTTAGAACTTGAAAGTAAGACCGTACTCTCAGCTCTACCACATACCCTCTCTGAGCCCCCAGTTCCCATCTGTGAAACAGGGACCACCATCGCTCCCTTTTGGGGTTGTTACAAGAATCTGGTGGGGATGTGCACACCCTGGCAGAGTGCCTGACGCATGGGGACACCCCAGCTTTCAGGTGACGCCGCCTGCCTGTTGGAACTTCTAGTTCTAAATCCACACAGGCTTGCTCTACCATGCTTCTCCCCCCCACCCCCCAAGACTGAATAATGCCATGCGGAGACCTTCAGACCTCACCAAAATCTCCAGGCCCTTCTCTGGGGACTGCACCTTCTTCAGGATGCCCACACCAGCCAGGAATGTGCCCCAACTGAACGCAACTGCAGCCTTCCTAATTGCTGTTGCTAAGTATACATAGGACGCCCTGTACTATGCAAGTAGCACGTCTTCATCACCATGGTGACCAGGCAACTTCAGTCTCCAAACACATTCCTGTGCAGCATGTGTCTATCAGGGCAGAAGGGAGCCAGTGAAACTGTGAGTCTGGCAAAGGAGGGTGGCCCCACCCCCCAGTCTCTGGCTCTCAGAATTGAGTGGCCAGTGCCCCGCCCTTTGACTGTATAAAGCTCTTCTTCGGAAACTTTCCTTGTCGGCACCCAAGCCACACATCTCCATCACCTGAAACCGACTCAGGAAAAAAGGCCCCAGGAGAAGGAGACTCTACGGGGGACACCTGCGAATCTGGGTAACTCAGAGAATGCAGGATTCACCAGGGCACCCTGAAGGCGCAGGCTTGGTGGTAGCAGAACAAATCCCCGAAGCACCCGCAGAAATCCTCTTTTGGAAGGTACTCTCCAGGATGGAGCTAAAAGCAAAATGTAGGTGCCTCAAGAGCCTCTTGCTTCTAGGGAAATCGTGAGACAAACAGTTCCTGCTTACGGCTCTTGAGCTCCTGCCAATTGAATCAGAATCTTGGGGGTGGGGGTGAGCATCGATGGGTGTTTTCTCCAGGTGATGGTCAAGAGCCCTGATGGGAACTCCAGGTGAGGCTGCGAGGATTATCACACGCTTGAGGGAAGCTGCCAGAACTGGGAGTCTTTTTGAGGGGCAGCAAGGAGGCTGCAACCTGGAGCCCAGCAAGATCGTTTGTGAATGTGCTCCTGATACTGAGAAGGCCTGTAGGGCCAGCGTCCCTGCGAAGCAGAAGGGGAGTCAGGTTTTGGGGGTGGAGGTGAAGTTCTGCTAAGAACCGAGATTGGTCTTGGGCAGTCGTGTCCCTTGCTCTGGGCTCTGCACTTCGGGGCACCCTGCCCTCACCAGGCATCCTCAGGGGCTGAGACAACTACTTGCCCAGAGCCTGCACACTCCTTTTGAAGCCGTGCCCTTGTCACGCGGGGTTCCGAATACCTGCCCAAGTGCCCTGAGCCTGCTTCTAGGCACGCGAGGCCTCTGCCCTGGGTCCATCTTCCCCAGGAAGACTGTACAGAAAGCTGGGCACCTGACGGACAGCCCGAAGGCGGCCGCCTGCAAGCTGGTGTGGAGAGACTGGGCTGAACGGTCCCTACACTCAGAAGTCATGAGGCCATTTGTGGTAAGAGATGGGAGGGGGTGGGTGAGATGGCCCGGGGGCCAGGGACCTGCAGATGTGTTCCTGCTCCACGGTGGCTGAGGGCAGGGCTGGCTTATGCCCATCATCTTGGCTCTACTCAGCCTCTCCCTCAAATGTAGTAACTGTGTTCTCCAAATCATGCCTCACTGTGTCCTTGAGCCTGTAAATCTCCTTCTCTCTGCCTCACGCGCTCCCTCATTGTCTGCCTTGCAGGCTTAGCCCAGGTGTGGTCTCCCCAGAGGGAGTCCTCCCCGCCCCCCACCCCCTCAGTGCTCCCAGTACTGTTGCCTGTCTGCTGCCCCTGGTCTGGGAACAGTCACTCTGATCTGCACATATGGGCAGAAAGCTTCATCTCTCCTCCACGTGGCACCTTGTTTTCTTTCGGGTCCCTAGCCCCTGGCTACCACACCTAGCAGGGAACACCATTTAAGGACTGGTTCGTGAACTGGATTCAGTCATTTTGGTAATTATGGGAGGAAGGCTTTGGAGGCCTCCTCTGACATTTACCCCAAACTCTGGTTTCTTGGGGGAAAATACAGTGCTCGTTCTGAAGAGTCCGTTTCTTCTGTTGAAGTAAGGGCTGGGTGATTATTGATCTGTTCTAGCATTTCCAGCCTCTGAGCTGCCCTCATGTGTGTGGACCTTCCCCCCCCACCCCCACCCCCTTCTGCCTGCCACCAGCTTCATGGAGAAAGCTGGACGAGCAGGTGCATCCCTGCTGCCAAAAATCCGAGGAGCTCAACTGCCCAGGGAGGAGGTGACCACGTGTCCTGATTTGCCCAGGACAAGTTGTGTGCATATCTGTTGTTCTGGAATGATTGTTAATAGGACTCCTTTTGGGGCGCCTGGGTGGCTTAGTTGGTTAAGCGTCCAACTTTGGCTTAGGTCATGATCTCATGGTTCGAGCCCCGCATCGGGCTCTGTGCTGACAGCTCAGAGCCTGGAGCCTGCTTCAGATTCTGTGTCTCCCTTGCTCTCTGCCCCTCCCCCACTCGTGCCTTCTCTGTCTCTGTCTCTGAAAAATAAACATTAAAAAAAATAGGGCTCCTTTCACTCTCTAAAGTGTCCCATCACTTGATAAGATATATTATGGGGCCTCTAAACAGCAGAATCTGGGGCACGCTGCCAAGATCATCAGCCTGAACATTTGCACTGTTTTACTTGAGTTCTGGGAATTCTTCGATTTACTGTATCCTCTGAAAGGTTTGCAGAAAGCGGGGGTGGGGGGGGGGGGGGGGTGGTATTTTCATGGCCTTATTACGAATCCTAACTGGTTCTCTTTAAAATCCAAGCAAATACTTTTAAAATTCTGTCCAATCCAGTGGCTCTCAGGCTGTGTTTCCAAAGGACATGATGAAGGGAGTCCGGAAAGAGTACGTCCAATAACGATGGCTGTGTCCCATGTCACAAGGAAATTATGAGTCAGTGGATAGAATGGACTTGAGTTCAGTTTCTTCTCCAGCAGGTTTTTATATGCCTTTGGGAGCTGATCCTGTCTGCCAGCTGGTGGATAAATACACCAATGCTAAGTGAATATGAGTTTCTAAAAACTCAAGAAAGTGTTTAATAACTTACATATTTTTAATGAGGTGAGAATTGCATGCCTGGAATATGGCCAGATTTTCATTTGGTGAAATTCGTTGTAGTTTATGTGATGGAATTTAACACATCAACATGTCCTAGTGCTTTCATATTACATTAATATCTAACATTTGTTGTGCTTTAATATGTGGCAGGCTAGAGCCGAATGAGTCCTATACGTCATCTCTGTCATCCTCAATCCCATGAGGGAGGCGCTATGGCCACCCCATTCCATGGGAGAGAAAACCGGGCTTTGGGAAGGAAGAAAGCTTTACTCCTGGTCTTACGACTTCCAGGTGCTCTAACACCTAAAGTCCTTTGAAATCCTCTTTGAAGTCCTGAATAGTACAGTTACAAACAATTCTGTCATTTGACCTTTGCCCTCAGGCCATGTTCGATAGCAGTTAGAGACAGCTCCCGAAGCTATCGTGATATCATCTGAATTTTCCTTTGGACTCTGAAACAGCCTCTTGTTTTGCTATAGTTTTTTTTTTTTTTTTCTTTTAAGGGGTGAAGTTAATGAATCTGGAAAAACTGAGGCCATCTCATATTAAATATTTTTTGTTTATTTTTGAGAGAGAGAGAGAGAGTGCAAGCGGGACAGGGGCAGAGAGAGAGGGAGACACAGAATCTGAAGCAGGCTCCGGGCTCTGAGCTGTCAGCACAGAGGCTGGTGCGGGGCTTGAACCCACGAGCCATGAGATTGTGACCTGAGCGAAAGTCAGATGCTTAACAGACTGAGCCACCCAGGTGCCCCAAGGCCATCTCATACTAAATAAGCTGCTTGTTAGCCTGGGGAGCTCTCCCAGCCAAGAGCTCTGCACACTTTCAACTGTTCTCCTCAGAGCTCCGTTTCTTCCAGACCCCTCCCTCTAGTGTGCTTTCTCCTTTTCTTAGCTTTCCTACGAAGGGTGCTTTGGGATGCTTGTAATCTGGTACATAAAAGGTGCTCAATAAACACTGGTTTCAAGAATGAATGTGTCAAATGAGAGAAGCAATGACTCAGTCTCACTTTCACCAAGAGTGAATGGCTACATTTTGCCGAATCCCCTTGCTGTGAGTTTCTGGGTGACTGCCAGGAAACTGAATCTCTGTGTCCTCTGGCCAATGGAAGGTAGCAGATCCACTGGTTGTGTAAAGCTTCCCCTCTGTCCTGTGACCTCATCAAGACCATTGGAAGGCGAAGGAGGGAAACTTACCTGTCTGTACTTTGCCAATCGAATTTGCCTTTCACAGTCCAGTTGCTTTCAACTCCCCACTGAGCCTTCTACTGCATCTTACACCTGCTGCTGTGCGGCCGTGTGCTGACCTTCACCATGGGACCTGTCCCCGGGGAGGCAGCCCGCCATCTTGCCCCACCCACCGCCCACTTCCCATTTGCCTTGCTCACTCTGAGCAGTCCGACCACGTTCTGCTGTTCCTGATTCAATGATTGGCAACAGGCCACCTGAGCCTGGAGGACTTGTCCCGTCTCCTGGCTGTCTGCAGAGAGGACACTGGGAGGTGGCTGACCCAGCTGAGATGCTTTTCTTGCTCACATGGGGAGTGTGCTTACTGCCAAAAGTTCTGAAGGCCTTTGTGTCCCCCTGTGGTGTCAGAGCCTGAACCCACTTTGCATTCCAACATTGCACTTTTCCTGGAAAGCTCTGGACTTTCTCTCCAGCACTGGTTTCATTTCATTTCAGCTCTCGACAGGATTACAGTGGGTTCTATCTTCTGGTCTCCAGGCTTTCTCCCATCCCAAACTGGAGCCTAAGTCACTTTTTTACCATGTGATTTTTAAGTAAGCTGTATGCCCAGTATGGGGCTTGAAGTCACGACCCTGAGATCAAGAGCCACGTGTTTTACCGACTGAGCCAGCCAGGCACCCCTCCCATACGAGTTTTAAAATGTTTACTTTTTGTTTTATTTTACTTTTTAAAATAATTAGTACAAAATTACATATTATGTATGTAATATACATACACACGTGTATATACATATATATATTCACGGAAGGAAATTTAGAAATTACAGGAAACAAAAAATCTATCACTCTCTTATACTAACATCTATTGGCATTTTTCTATAGATATGTCTATTTTGTCATTGTTGTTCAATCTGACTGCTTTATTGATTATCAGAGAAAAAACCCTGCAAATAGCTTTATAACAGCTTGACTATTCACTTAACTATCGATTCAGTTTTATGCATTCCCACCATCAAAACATTTTTTTTTAATTTTATAGTAATTTTAGATTTATAGAAAAGTTGCAAAATATTACAGAGCGTTCACATGTATGCTGCATCTAGCTTCCCATAGTTTTAACATCTTACATGGCCACGGTACATTTGTTGAAACTAAGAAATCCACGCTGGTGCCATACTATTAACCACAGATCTTATTTGGAGCTCCCCATTTTGCTCATTAACATTCTTTTTCCGCTCCAGGATCACATCAGAACACCATGTGCATTCGGTCTTCATGTTTCTATAATCTTCTCAAATCTGTGAAAAGTTCCCAGTCTTTCCTTGTTTTTCATGACCTTGGCACTTTTGATGAGTACTGATCAGGCATTTTGTAGGATGTCCCTCAGTGTGGGTTTGTCTCATGACTTTCTCATGCATAGATTTGGGAGAAGGATACCACAGGAGTCAAGTGCCCCGCTTACTGCATCGAAGGGTCTTTGTGTCTTTGTTAATGTGTATGTTCTTATAATTTTGATAAAGATAGAGCATCTTTCCATATCTTTATGGGTCCTACCACAGGGATGGAAAGTAACCCATCAATTATGACAGCGCTCCGACCCAGATAAAACCTCGGAATCCCTCTTGATATAGCCCTCCGGGCAGCCTCCTGCAGAAGGCCTATACCTTGGCACATTTTGCCAGTTCTGTTCTACATCATTTTTAATTTTAAAGGCTGAAAAATAGTTTATAGAATGATTACACCCTAATGTGTTTTACTCATCCCGTACTGGGTCCCTATAGTTTTTTTTTTTCCCTTCCCTTTTTTTCCCAATTTTTAAAGGAAAAAATCCTAGTACATTACAATTATTGGATCAAAATGAATAGATATTTTTAAGGCTTTGATGTACATTTTCAAATTGGCTCCAAAATATTTTCATGGATTTATATCCCCAATAGCAGTGAAAATGTTGTTTTCCTAAAACTTGTCAAAATTTGCTATTCTAATGAAAAACCATGAATAGGAAACTATCATTTCACAGTTGAGTCATTATCTTTTTATTGTTCTTATGTGAACTTCCTCAATTATTATAGATATTGAACTTTCTTTTACAGGTGTATTGGCTATTTATATTTAATACTTTTTCAATTATATGTGTCCTTTGTCTACTGGAAGATATTAGCATTTCCTCATTGATAGATCAAAACTATCAATCATGTATCCTATTTGTTGC